GTCGTGCTTGTTTATCAAATTTCTAAAAAAAAAAAAAAATCTATTTCAGTTCTAAATCTAATTCGACTTTAACTCATCCCCATCATCTTCAGTATAATCAATATAACTAAATACAACTATTCTTACAAATTACATTAATTCACTATTAATCCGCTCACATAATTTTAACTACTTATCATTTTCAATCATATATCTCGTACGTTTATATCAAATCAGTTTTAATTATTTTTTTAAAATATTATTTTAATAAATTTTTAAATTTCCACATACAACTTATCATATTAACCTTTTTCAAATAAGCTCTAGTTAACACAAAAAAAATAAAAAAAATCTAGTTTTTATAAATAAGCTCTAGTTAACCAAATCCATAGCAATATCTTGATCATCGTTTTGTAGTTCTACTCATAACTCATTGGTTAGTGTAAAATTTGTCTCATTACAAGAAGACAAAATATGAAATCAAAAGGGTTGTATATACACAAACAATAAATTACATTGTTCTCTTTGATCAGCAATAGCCTCATCCTCGATTATCATTTCAATCAATTTAATTACAGAAGAGAACGTAGAGATAATGTTCGACTTCGTTTTATATAGACTGTTAAAAAAAGTTTAAAATTATTTTTATTATGTCTCGCAAGTTCTCCAACTTTGTCTTTTCTTTCTAAATATTTATTTGAAAATTATAAGTACATTTATTAGCAGCAAAAATCCGGCCTAGGCAGTTGCCCAGGCTGGCCAGAATGTAAATCTGTCACTGTGCCAGACAACTCAAAAGTGATATTCTTATATTTGTGAAAATCTATGTATGACAAAGTTGAAGATTGTTTTGTTAGTTTTTTTTAGTGGTCCATTTCAATGTGTTTTTGCGTTTTTTTTTTCTGTTACGGGAAATTGTCCCCACAGAAAGGATGCTAAGGCCAAATTACAAACCAGTGGTTGATATTGAAGCAAGTTAAGAATAGGAAGTGGCTTGGTACAAAAGGATGGTGGGAAACAATATCAAATTTCTTTTGAATTGAATTAGATAAAAGAAAAATGAAGAGAACATTTAAAACTTTGAGACACTGGTCATGGTTTTTTCTGTCCCTTTCCACTTCTCTTTGTTACTACTTTTAGTTTATACACTCATCACTTGCACTTCACCTCAATTATAGATTTAAGTCAACCATTGTATGGTATGGAGCCAAGTACATGTCAAAATGAAATCTTTTGGGGCAATTAGACAAACACATGGTGGAGGGAGAAGATGCTTGCATATGTTATAAAGTTGAACATGGGTTTCATTTTTATAATAATAGTGTTGTTACTAGTACAACACCCGTGTATTACACGAGTGCTTGCTAATTTTTTTTTTTAAAATTTAAAATTTATGAGAAAAAGTAGTTTGAAAATTTAAATACCTTTTATAAGAATATATATTATTATATATTTATTATGACACTTTTTATTTGTGCAACTTACTTGTGTTATATTATACTAATTTTTTTTTAACTTACAATATATAACTACATTACATATAAATATATCAATTGGGAAATAATTTTATTTTTCTAATGAATTTTAATAAATATTATTATTTATTATTATTATAAAGATATATATAATTTATTTATTTCGTATATACAATATGGATGTCAAATCGAAGATCATCAAAAGATGATTAATTTGATATATTATATATGTAAAACGGATAAGAAATACAAAAGTTATCAACTTTTACAATACATTTATAATTCAATAGCTTATTGAAGGAAACAAATCAAAATTCAGGGATATATTAGTCACTTAGTGCTTCACTTTCACTTGTAAAATTACAAAGAATTAAAGGGTTATATTAGTAAAAGTGATATTAAAATACCTAAGTTAGCTAAATAATATTTATGGAATACCCGAACCTAGATTATTAATTATTAGTATATCAATATTATTTATCCAAACCTAATTACCAAACATGGTTGTTCGCCAAATAGGAATCTGAAGCACCAGAAGCAGCTACGTAGACTCAGCGCATTCGGGAATTATATATAGGGAGGATATAGGGGTTTATGCTGTCTTTAAATGGCTTGATTCTGCAAAGAAAGTTGATTCTTAATATTACTATAATAATTTTATTATTATGTTGGGTTGGTATTTGCTGTCTAAAAGGCTTGATTGGTCTAAAAGAGTTGATTCTAAATATTTTTTATTAGGCTTACCATATTTGCTCACTTCTAGGAAAAAAATTAATATGCAATTAAATTGGGGTGCTGGTAGAGGTGGGTATATTCCTTCCTAAGGGTGACTGCTCACCACACATTTCACATATATAAAAATATAGTTTTAAAATTGATCTGTACTACTTTTATAAAAAAATTGGCATGTATAATGTGGACTACATATTTTTATTTATATTATATGTTAAAGTATGTATATTCGATTAAAGAGTATTGTTGTTATAAAAACTTGTAACAATCAATGTCTAAACAAACAAGATTTGTTAGGTAATTATTTGTCGAAACGAACTGTAGGCCGGTGTTTTTCTCTTGGATTTTTATTCAATCTTGAAAGATCTTTACTTGTGGCCCTTTCGCCTATTTATGCACGTAGTACTTCAGGCGCACTGTTTGTGTGTGTAGTACAAGTAGGTATAGTACATGATATTAATCTATTTTAGGAAAGTACTCGGCTTTTAATAGCTAATGATTACGGTTCGAATCTCAACCTTGATCAGCACAGGGGGAAATGACACGTGTCCCCGACATTGTAACGGCTGGCGGTTCATTTTTGTCATTAATGCGCGTACAGATAGCCGAGTCGAGTTGTTGTTCAGCGCCACCCCTCCACCATCGTGTTCGCCAGATTCCGAAGAGTTCGGCTAAACATGATTGGAGTCTCTTTAATTGCCTTCAGTATAGGTTTACGTGTCGCATCCCCGTTGGAGAAGAAGTTCGGATATCAACATACAGACCCCTAATCTCGAAAGTCTTGCGTGGTTGTCGACCCGTGGGCTACTATTTTGCTAGCTTTATCTGGTCGAGCGAGACGTTCGGGATTGTTTTATAAAAATAGGTCGAACTGAGACGAGTCCATCAATGTCTTTCGTCATTAACTTCTCAGGGCGCGGCATATTTAATGCACGTTCATGAAAAGTCGCGCCCATTAAACAGTGTCAACTTTATTCATGTGGTGGGACATGTGTCTGGGTACTACTGGTCGTGACCATCGTGAGTCCTGTCGCGTCCTTTCAATTAAGTGTTATTATTGAGAGGAAATAAATAAGTATGACTTCTCTTGTATTAAAATATTGCATTGAGTATTGAGTTGTGTTTCCTCTTGAGTTTGTTCCCATATGCCAATTTGAGTGGAGTATTTGTTATCCGAAAATTGCCATTCTTCTGCATTGGTT